ACTGTAATTTATAAATATATATATATATACCCAATATTATAATATATATATATATATATATATATTGGGTGTCCCAAAAAGATCGAGACCCCAGAATATCTCGGAAAATATAAGTTTTTGTAATATAAGTTATTGATAATATTGGGTATATATATATATTTATAAATTACAGTATTTTTATATAAGAGAACGATAAAAATAAATGTGTTACCGGCATCAATAGCTTCCTTTATGTCCATTTTTAATGCTCTACATGCTGAATTAGATGCGTATTCTGGAAATTTTTGTTGAAAACTCTTGAGCACCTTGTCAGCTTCAATTGACCGATTTAAATCAAACAAACAGCGTGCCAATCTGTATACACATGTAAACAATGGATTATATTAACGGATTTAAATAATATTCATTTAAATATAAAAGGTTAAAGTGAAATGTTAATGTGCACTTGAAATAAATACAAAGCAAGTTTCCACATAAATTATAATTGGAATTGTAAAGATATAAAGAATTTTATATGATTAAAGATTTTTCAATCTCATATTGTAATTGTGAACATTCTCTCAAATTCTTTAATTATAATTCTTTAATAATTGTTAGTATAAATTTTTTTAATAATTATAATTTGAATAAGATCGCCTATGTGAATAACACATCTAACGTCGAGAGCGTCTTTTCGCGGTCACGGCTGGATCTTAGATGCTTAATAAATTCTATATAAATTTTTCCAAAATTTATGTATAGCCGTTAAACTGCGCGCCGATTAAATGTTCGGACTTAAAACGCAATTATTAGCTGAGGCTGAAATGGAAATATCATATTGATCTTCCTAATCGATGCTTATAAGCATCTTAAAATACTGAAAAGAATTTATTGTGAAAAATATTACCTCAGCCAGGATTTGAACCTGGAATTTTCCGACTTTCCAGGGCGGGAATCTTAAAATTCGTATAGAATTTATTAACCCTCTAAGATCCAGCCGTAACCGCGAAAAGGCACTCTCGAAATAAATTTTTTTGTTTAAATTTATATATACTATACTGGGTTTTGTATAAATTTACCTGAAATGAGCTTTTACATGTTCTGGATCGAGAAGTAATGTTGTCTTACAATCTCGTAAAGCAGCATAAATATCACCATCCCTAAGAATATCATAATTACGCATACTTATATATATGTGTATATATGATTTTATAATTATTTATCTTATACATACTGTTATCAGCGAGAATAATTACCAAGCGCGTTTCATATAAGCAGCTGCTCGATTAGCAAATAATACCGCTGCCGTTGGACAATTTGAAATTGCTTTATTATATAAATTAATTGCTAATGAATATTTCTGCTGTTCAAAACCTTCGTTTGCCTGTTGATAAAAAAAGCGTCATGTTAAATACTGTTATAAATTAAAAATTTCTTATAAACCTGTTTAATGCTTCGTATACACTCACATTCATACTCATACTTACATCCACACGCATGTACACATGCACGCACGCACGCACACAACTTTTATATATAATATATATTTTGATTTTTCTCTTTTTTATCTTTGGAATATTTAAATATAATAAGATCAGACTCAGAATATACTATAAAGGAGGTTCATGAAACATGAAACCTACAAGTCATAAAAAATCAAAAAGTAAATAAAAAATATTAAGAGACAATTTAATCCTATAAATATTTAAGGCTTAGTATAAAGATAAAGAAATAGTTTTATTGCAAGAAATAATTTTTTATATGTTAAACATTCATTTTTTATTTAATATATGTACAAGGAATAACTCTGTACACTTACTAGACGCTTTATTTCTTCAACATGCGGTGGCAAAATCTTTACATTTTTGTCTGCAAAACCTCCTATTTCATCTATCTCGTTCTGTTTTATGTGACATTCATCAAGTTGTTGATCTTGTTCAATTGATCCTATTGAAAAATAGATTATTACACATTATACAATAGTAATTTTTATTCACGTGCACACATACGAAAGCGATGACATTACATTACCTGGAGATGAACCAAAAATTTTTGAACTATTCGAATCGTTGATATCAAACAAGTAAATTTGTTCTCCACCCATATTCACAAGTAATTCATTTCCATCGTCACTGAATGTTAAATAAGTGGTCGTAATGCTTCTGGTACCATCACGAGAGCGAAGATGGCCTATTTAATATTAACCGAGTAATAGTTTCGGTTAAAATTATCGTGCAATATATTTAGTAAAAAAGGAAAATAAAGATAAAGGAAATAGTATATGCTATCTTTGAAACAAACCTGCAATAAAGTACTGCACACTACCCAGTGGAATATTGTCATCTGGATCGCCTTTGCCTGCTCGATATGTGCTAATATTTGCTCCATTCGAGTTATCGTGTAGAGAAGGAGACGGAGGAATCTATGATTTCATGGCCAAAATGTTATGTGAAATTCATTGACATTGTCGGTCGAGAATAAATAGAATCACCTGCGAAAGTTTTATCATTCGTCGATCATACATCCGGATGTAAGCATCGTTAGCGCCGATGGCTATTAGTTCAGGTTTTCTCGGGTTCACAGCAATGCATTTGCCCTCTGCATAACAACCCGTATGATATACCAGGTTCACGAGTACGCTGTGATCATTACTCTTACAAACATGCGGCGTACGAATGTCATATTGTAAGAAGAGACCATCTTCGCCCGCGCTCCAAAATAAAAATGGTATACTGGGAACGGTAGCGATACGCTTAATACGTTGTTTGTGGCATTTACATGTAAATATTGGTTCAGAGAGCGTAAGATCGTGTACCCGAATCCGGCAATCTGCTGCACCTGACACCAGTACACTGTCATTTGATTTTGGCATAAACTAAAAGCAAATAAGAGTAACATCAAAATAAATATCTTATGTAAAATCTTTAAAATAATATACTTAATGCTCTGGATAATTATACTAGTCTTGCTAAAACATAAGTTTGTTAATCCTAGAAACATCTATTATCTTTTTGTAGTAATGTACATATAAGCTTCAAAAATTATTTGACATCCAATTCATATTTTATTTATAAAATATTAATATTTTATAAATCAATAACAGTTGTGTAGTGTAGAAGAAATAGATAAAACATTAACTTACTTTTACAGAGAAAATATTTCCACGATGGCCCGAGTGCAGTACTAATTTTTTTTCATAACGAAAAGGGTCCCACAATATAACGTCTTTGTCATCCGATGCTGATGCAAGGACTCTGTATAAATAAAATATATTTTAGTCATTGATTAAATTATGCTTAAACAAGAACATACTAATATAACATAGATATATACTGTCCAGTCTCATTCCATTCTAAACAATTGACACATCCCGAATGACCATTTAATTCCTTTTCCAAACCCAGACGTGATATTAAATTTTCAGTAACGTGTAATTTTTGTAGAATTGTATGTGTCACTGAGTCCTAATTAATTAAACATATGATAATTACATATAATTACAAAACATTAGTAAACATATTAAAATATATAGAATTATTTAACAACTTACTTGTATTTCTCTTTGACGTACTAAATCTAGGACTCTGTAGTCCTTTTTCTGGATACTAGGAAACATTTTAATAGAAAATATTGTTTATTTATTGTGGCACGATATAAATTAATACTCCCTGAAATATGAATAAGAAAATGTAAAAATGTAAAATGTACAATACAAAAAACTTTTAAATATACCAATATTTAAAAGGTAATTTATACTGAAAGAATCAGTACATACAATAGTCAAAAAATATATTTCATCTTAATGTACAAAAAATCTATAACCTAAGTTTTTTTCTTTATTTCTACTTGAAAAATATTTGCATATATTAGTTACTGCAAATCATTGCTTTGATTATCATCGATGGACAAATGTATTAAGCCTAATTATTTATTATGAAATAATTTTATAATTTCCTTTCTTGTTATAAAACATTTATACAAAGAGATAACAAAAGCTTGCTAAGATTTCGTAATTATTATCAAATTTTGTCGACAAGTAAAGGCATAAAATTTCATTTTATTATTTTGACGATACATGTTGATATAACCAAAATATTGATAAATGAAATTATGTAGAACAAAAATACATATGTATAAACGTATGTACATACATAACATAAACCAATTTCCAGTAAAGATTATAATCAAATGAGATTTTATTATAAACATACTTGAAAATACAAAAATGCAAAGACTTACTTGCTTATTTAAAACTCTGCGCATAAATTCTACACTATAGACCGATTCATACATTTTATCCAATTACTTATCCTTCGTATGATTAAATGCACAATACACCGTGAAAAGCTTAAGGAGGTATAACAAGGTATAAAGCAATTATCTTACTCTTCTTTGGGAATATGGATACAAAATACTCTAGAAAGTATAATAAAAGGAGATGATGGAAGGAAAGGGAAGGAGGGAGAAGAGAGGAAGGAGAGAGAGAGAGAGAGAGAGAGAGAGAGAGGAGAGATCATTTTGTATATGTATGTATGTATATACATATGTTCACTTAACCGCGTCAGACAATGCGATAGCCAATCATTTTCTGCTACGTTTATTATTTCCAGAAAAACAGAAGTCTGATTGGTCATTGCAAAAGTAACGTATTATCCCTAGTTAAAGTAATGTAGCGTTAGAGTCCTAGATTATCAGAGAAGCGCGACCGGCTTATGGCAGTATCGCAAAAGTACTAGAAAATATTAAAAATGGCGTCGAATGACCAATCATAAGATTGATTTATTCGGTA